CTGTCTTTAAATACAACATAATACCAAGCATGCAGAAAATGTACCTATAAAGAGGCACCTGAAAGAGGTCTATCCAAAGAGAGGTCACCACTTTTCTGCCTGCACCGAGTTCATCTTTCCAACCACACAAAGGCAAAGCAATTGCTGTCATTACACACCCAGAACAGCGCTAACCATCCCAAGCTGTGGTTTGGGATAACCACAGCCCAAGTGCCACCAAACTCAGTTGATGAGTCGCAGGCAGCAGGGAGAGCAGCACTCTTCTGCTTGCAGCTGGCCAGCAGACACCGCCGTGCAGACTTTGCATCCCTCACTCTTCTTGCCTTCCAGCAGAGAACTATCAAACTCAATTCTGCCAACGGCGGCTGTTTTATTTCCTCAGCTGAAATGAGAAGCTGAACTTGTCGGCACCACGTGGCAGCAACCACATTTGCTTTGCCAAATCACTCTTTTCACTCATGTGATTTGCCATTACTGAGGGTAACTATTTTTTCAAGCTCCAAAAATAGCCAAGTTGAAAATATGAAAAGACTTTTTACAAAGTCGCTATTCTGGAAATCAAGTTATGCCATTTTCAAATTGGTGGTAAGACTTTAAAGCAAGCTTAACATCTGAGAAATGAAAGACAGCAATTAGGATGCAGCCAGGAAACGCTCCACACATCCATGCTTTGCCACCACAAATCCTTAGCTGGAAAGTATCTTCCAAAAGTATCTTCCTCTCTTTTCCTTAAATACACAGAAGCAAAATTAACAGCAAATAATGAATTCCACATAAGCACCAAAACAGCTTACAAAATAAAAAGGCATGCAAATTAATTACTGCATCAAAAATGACATTTAATTGCAGCTCCCAGTTTTACTGCAGCACATTCACTTCACTGCTAACATCCTCAACAAGTATTAAATTACATGTGTAAAAATCCAACCAACCCTCCTACTGTACACTTGTGTGCATGAAACTCCATCCCATCTCCTGTGAGCTTGCTTTACAAGCTGTGCTACTAGTTACTGCTACTAGAGTCTCACAATACTGTTCACAAGCCCTTCAGTTCTTGCTTTCAGCTACAAGCTCCCAGCCATTGCTCCACTGTCAAAACACAAGCTACACAGAAAAGCATCCTCCAAAAATTTGTTTTGCTGTCTGTCCAGCGATAAAGAGATCTTCTGCTTAAAATTTCCCTTTAGAAAGGGAATTGTAGCAGAGGTTGTCAGATAATAAAGGATACTTCAAGTCTCTATACCAATTTGACGTGTTTATCATCTTTTTCTCTTTCCTCTTTTGCTTTACTCAGGGATGAAATGCATAAACAGGTGAAAACAACTTACATCAGATGAAAGACTGAAAGCAATTCTACAGAAAGCATCAAGGACAGGGAGACAGCTCTCTCATCTTTCATTCATAAAATCTGCTTTTGAGTAAAGGTACTCAGATGAAGTCATTTTAAACCTCATTTACAGCAGCCCATACAAGTGCTGTAAATATGCTTTAAAAAAAGTTTTCACTTTCCAGTTAAAGAATTGTACAAATCCATGCAAACCCTCACTGCATGTACATATAGCATCACTGAGCATTCTCTGTAAAGATGCAAAATTAATCAGTTTTGCAACACAGTATAAATACACAAAAGAATTTGCTGCAATACAAATGCATACGTTTCCATACTTAAAAAGATTTCAAAAGCACTGAAATTTGAACTAGATTTCTTTGGTTTTAAGATGAAATACTGATCTCAAATTACCATGTCTAAAATTGAGAAGAGATAATAACTGAATAAATCCAGGTAACTGCAGCAAATTTAAGGGAGGAATCAGATGAGAATCATGTATTAAAAGGAGCTCATACCAGGATTCAAGCTAAAAAAGTAAAAAAAAGACATTTAATACCCAAAAAAAAGGGCTGGCATTTTCATAGACTGAAATAATAGAAGAGCTACACCAATATATGGCCATGATGGCATACCTGACAGGCTGAGGAAACACAGGGCAGAATTCATTTTTTAAATACAGACACCAACTCTTATTTGTATCCTCTTTCATAAATGAAGTTTGCAAATTAATTTTCCATAGGACGCTCTGCCAAGTAGTTCATTTTTAATATCTCTTCAAGTCACAGCGGTGAGGAGGAAAAAAAAACCCTGATCCGTACAGGGGAAATAAAGGTTACTGTTTTTCAAAGCAGACAGGCTCCACAGTGCCTATAATTAAAAGGACACATCCTGATAACAGGCACAGAAAGAGCTGCAAACGGTATTCTAAAATCAAACGGGGCTAAAGACTTAAAAGATACTGGTCTTTAAATGCAATTACAGACAGGTTTAAGGAAAGCTGGGAGTTAATCTAAACAAGGTATTACATGGGTCAGATGTTTCTTCAAAGGCACACTACATGGAATTTTACAGCTTCTTCACTGGCCCAATTATGTCATCACTTGCTTTTTTCTCCCAGATCTTCCCTTGCAAGGCTCAGAATCACTTGGGATGTATTGATAAAATCTTAAATGATATAAATATGTGCATGCATGTGCGTGCAAGAGAGACATTTCATATGCACACACTTGCATATATATATTTACAGTACATCTCTTTAAACGCTTACGTACTTCCAACAATTTTACATAATTGTGTACAATTTTTACAACACACTACCCCTTTATCTCCTGTAAAAGAGAGGGAATAATCTAACTAATCAGCACAAAATTCCTAAGAGAGCTCTAGTTAGAGACATTCGCTGGACAGAGATACAAGTGAGGAGCCAGGGAGCAGCAGCAAACCCTGCACTGCCTTCAGGGAGGAACAAGCTCTGAGCTCCAAATGCCACGGCCGAGACAACACAATCCCCTGTCCAGAGACACTTTGGCAGTAGAAATAGAAGCAAATCTCACAATGTTTTTTAATCTTACAGGCAAATATACAGGGAGAAACACCACTGCCTCTTATCCAAACCAACTGACCACTGCTGCCACGCAGAATAATTATTTTTGGTCTCTATTTGATAGCCATATCCTGCTCCATGTAAAGCATATAAATGATTTTCCAACTGCAGCTAAACAAAAGTACAGTCTACCTGGAGATGACAGATAGAAACAAAGACACAACGTGCATGGGAGAAGAAAGGATATGATCTTTAGCTGGCTAAATAACAGAGGAAGGAGGTATTTCTGGCTATTGTTACCCAGAGGGATTTAAACAGGCTGGGAAAAACTGCCCATCATGACGAACAGCCAACATATGCTCTTAAAATCAGGGTACAATCACGTGCTAGATGTGATTTTCCGAAACACTGAATATCAATGAGCTTAAAATTCTTACTTAGCTGGGATCCCCTGAAAGCTTACAGTTTGGGTTTTTTTTTTTTTTTTTTTTTTTTTTTCATTGGTTGGTATTAATTAAAAAAAAAAAAAAAACAGGACCAGCAAAGAGAAGGATCAGTGTCCGAGTTTAGAAAGGTCAGAGGAAAGAAAAGCAAATAAAAAGTTCCTGAGAAAATTGACTGTTAACAGCACAATGGTGACACTGTGAGCTGCAATACCTCCATCTGTCTTCTACCACCTTCACGTATGTATTGACTAAAAAATATAATCAAAATGAAGCAGTGTTGGAACTTGTCTTCCAGCACTCCTCAAAGACAAGCTGCTACTCATTAGAACTCTCTGGCATCTCAGGAAGACGTGATGAAAGCCACTAAGACAGTCAACACCTCATGATCAACATAATCAGAGACTGCTGATAGAGTTAGTATTTTCAATATTAAGAACCCACAGCCTCTCCCAGAAGCCTGTTTATTAATACTTTTAAAAATAGAGTTTGGCCACTGCTATTTCTTCTGATTTAAGCTACGGCACCAAGAAAATATTTAAACATTACCTCGCCTCCCATCACCATAGCAGATCTTTCTCACCTTGTACGCATTGGGTTCTTTGTTTTGTCTCCTTCCTCAAGTCTCAGTTGTTTGTTTTTTTCTTCCCTTCTGTGTTCCCTTCTGTCCTCTCCCCCATTTTCAAGGCAGGTTATTTATTTTAAAGTTATCTCCTTCTCCCATTAGCAGTTTCGTCTTAAACAAGGTTTCTGGAAAACCACCACAGCCTTCCTGTCCACTTGTAAGCAGTATCACAAGAGGCCCCCGAGAGAGTAAGGAATTTCCAGACATAATTAATATTAAACAATCACACTGCAGATCTGCTGCTAAGATCACTTGATCCTGCAGACTTGAGGGCCTTTCACAACTGACACAGGTCCTTCGCACACACTGTCAAAGAAATGAGAATATTCACAATTCCAGTAGGACCAACCAGCCCTCATTTATCAGAGAAGCAGAGGTGGGGGAAGGTGCACAGTTTGTCACTGACTTCACAGGCTCACCACCCCTCGCAGGCCTGAGCTGCTCCCATAATGCATTAACGCTTCAAAGCAAAACCACCAAGACCAAAATTGCCCCAAGTTCAACTGGAAGAGCCACAACAGCATTGCTGACCTTCCTTTTCTCACCATATTCACTCTCCTACAGCACCTCTTGGCTGTTAAAGAGAAGGCACACCACAGCTTCGCAACAAGTTCAACCTGAGCGAAGGCAATACTTGAAAAGAGAAGCTGAGGCAGAATGAAGTCCAGGGTTGGGAAAAAAAATAGAAATCTACCTAAGAATAAATATTAATTATTTCATTATGATTAATAATCCAAACTACAATCACCACCAGCATATCCACGTTCCGCGGCGTTCTTTTGTCTTCCTCTATACAATGGGAATATACACACTGTCACAGATTGTTAAACACAATTTACCCACGCAGTAGTTTCAGAACATAATCAATACAACCCACCCCCAAATGAGAAATATAAGCATTTTCATAGGATACCTGCATACACAGGGACCTGACAAACACCATTTCTAGTTAGACAAAATCATTGCACCGCTCCATCTCACAGAACAGCTGTAATGAGAGCTGCAAGTTAGCGCACATCAAACTGTGCATCACTGAAATAAAGTTACGGGTGGCCTTACCTCTCATCCTCTCCATCTACGAGGGGCGTCGCCAGGGGCAGCACCTTCAACGGGAAGAGGGAGGCCGAGGCTGGCACGTTACTGCTACTGCCATCAGCGATGGCCGACGCTCCAACGCTGCTCTCCCCGCTGGCAGCTTGAGGTAAACCAACGAGGGAAGGTTCTGTAGGGCGCCTGCCATCTTCCATTTGGCTTACAACTGGCTGGGCTAGTGATTGTGCTGGGAACTGGGTAGAGCTCAGAGGTATCTGCTGCGGCACGCTGGGTGCCACCGGCATACCTATACTTGTTGATACCAAAGGAGGCTGACTAACGCTCTGAGCCAGACTCCCATTCTGCACAGCTGAAGCCTGGGCTATGCTCTGTGGCTGTCCCAAACCTATAGAAGCAGAAGGTATGCCAGGGGGCACAGCCGAACCAGCTTGACTCGGTGCAGGAACAGTACTAGCAGAAGGTATGGGGCTAACTGCAGGCAGCTGTTGGCCAGTCATTCCTTGCACCACTGACTCCACCGCTTGTGCCTGCGGCTGTACAGGTAACAAAGTGTTTTGCTGAGCAATAACCATTTGCTGAGGAAGGCCTGAAGCGCTAGCCTGTAATCCCTGCTGCATTATTCCTGTCTGCACAGGCTGCACCACTTGCGAAGATGGAGGAGCAGCGGTTGATGGCATAACTGGAGGTGGAATTTGGTTTGCAGCAGGTGGTGGTTGCACCACAGTGGCCACGTTTGCTTGCTGCCCAACGCTCAGCATCTGCCCACTGGTACCCACACCTGGTATTGCTGCCGGGGCGTGCGCAGCAGGCTGAGCCGGGGCAGCGGCTGGGTGCGCCGGGACTGCAGGCTGCATGCTCGGGACCTGGGCAACAGGAACCGGCGGCCCTGCCCCTACTCCTGCAGGACTGGGCTGCATAGCAGGTGCCGGGGGCTGAAGGATCTGTTGATGCTGAATATACTCTGGCACGGCCCCCGTAACAGTGCTTTGGTTCACCGACTTAACGTGACCTGTGGCCATCTGTGTAGGAACCGCTTGCTGCTGCTGCTGCTGTCCGTACTGCAACTGTTGCTGTTGTACAACTGGCAGAGTCTGCACAGGCTGTGCTGGCTGAGAATAAGGTAACTGCTGTTGAGCCATACTTTGAATGGCAGGCTGCTGGTGGCCCAGAGCTGGGGATACACCTAGTAGATTAACCGGGGCTGGCTGAACCCCAGTAACAGTGGTTAGACTGGCCTGCGCAGGAGGTTGGACCCCTGGCTTCTGCTGCGGATAGTTTATCTCTTGAGAATGCAGCTGGACTTGTGCAAGCTGTGATTGGGAAACACTCTGTGGTATACTAGATGCTGGAATTGCTGGAGGAGCAGCGCTGCTAAAATCCATCTGCTGAGGACCCACACCTTGAAAGGCTTGCTGCTGTACCACAGTAGGTGCTCCCATTTCTCCACTTCCCACACTTTCTGTATAGTGACTCAGTGTGCTTACATTGCTGCTAACAGAACTCCCACTGGTGCTCTCCCTTTCAGAAGTCGCTTCAAGCGGGTTTTGTTTTATCGTCTCTACTGCTTTGTTTACTGCTACTCCTTCTGAAGCTGCAACAGTGTTTTCTTTATCATAGAACTCAGTGCATGTCCATCTACCTTTTTTGAAAGGTTCAGAACTAGAATCTAATTTTACAACTCTAAACCTTGAGGTGCCAGATGCGGGCTGCTGCTGGCTGGATCCCGCGGCCACTCCTGCACTCGGATTAGTAACATTGTTAACGACACTAGAGGAAGCACTCGTACCATTGCCAACACCACTCAAGATATTCACATTAACATTGCCACTAGTTCCAGACAAAGCATTTACATTACCAGTACTTGTGATGTTGCTTAAATTCATAGTACCAAGCACGCTGCTTGCCACACTAGAACTACCTCCGCCCATATTATTCAAGGTACTAGTTCCAGTAGCAGAACTTACACCTAGACTGCCAGGAGTACTCGTAGTGCGGATATTAGACACGACAGATGCAGGGGGACCGGTGGATGATGCAGCAGAACCTGGCGCAGCTGATATAACATTGTCAGAGCTTCCAGTTGTCGACAGCTTTCTAAACGATGGGCTGGGTGGTGGTCCTCCAGAAACTGGGGCGCTGCCCACCCCGGGATGCGATGGGTGATGGTGTCCATGATGGTGGTGGTGAAGATGATGGTGGTGATGGACGTGGTGGGGGTGAACGCTTCCGTTGATCACAACGCTCTGCTGCGGATGATGAGGCAGAGAAGGGTGCTGCTGAGGAAGATGAGGCTGGTTTGGAGAAACGGCCCCGGGAGTCTCTGCCTCTTGGAAGTTATTTAAAGTCTCTTCAGAAGAGCTCCTCTCAGGTTCACCCAAGTCAGTGGCCCTGGATAAAGAAACATCCAAGATTTCTGAAGAAGACAGGTCTTCCGTGTGAGACTCATCCAGGTCATCGTAGCTTTCCGTATCTTCGGCTATGCTGTTATTAGAGCTCATACTGGCAGATATTTGAGCAGGGGTCACGCTGGTAATCTGGAAGCCACTTTTCTTTTTCATCTGAGCTCCGGTCTGCGCGAGAGGCTGCGGCTGGAGCTGAGACTGCGAGAGGAGGTTCAGGCTTTGTGGAGGAGGGGGTGTCGGCTGCGGGCCTGCCGATGAGGATGCTGCGGGAGACGGAGGCGGCGGCTGGACCAGCAGGGGCGGCTGGTAATCCTCGGCGGAGAGGGCAGCGCTCCCAACGCCGGTACCTGGTGCAGTGGGAGCAGTAACGCAGCTGCTGCCGCTGCTACTGCTGCTGCCCCTTCTAGGAAACATTGCCGGGTGCGCCATCTTCCTAGCACTAATGTCTGCGGCTGAGTCAGGCTGGTGCATTGTATCGGGCGTATTTTAAGAGCGATCCCCCGGCATGGAGAGAGACAGACACGCACACAGTTAGCGGGGCGCGGAGCCACGCAGCACCCCGGCACCGCCGCCACCCCCCTCCTCCGAGACAGGGAGGGGGCGAGGAGCTTTCCTCCGCCGCCTCTGAATGTCACACTTCCAATCCTCCGCCATTCACTTTCTTTCTCCCTCTCCCCCCCCCCCCCCCCCCCCCCCCCCCCCCCCCCCCCCCCCCCCTCCGCCGCCGCCGCCGCCCCCCACCCCCTTTTCACTCCCGCCGCCCCTCCTCGCCTCCCCACCCCCCGCCGGCGCCTCTCCGCGGGGTGCGCTGAGGCCGGAGGAAATGCCCGCGTTAGCCCGGGGCCGAGCCTCTGCCCTCCCCGAGCCGGCAACCGGCAGAACCGCCCTCCCCGCGCCGGGCCGCCGCCTCAGCGGAGCGAGAGCAGCCGGCGGGCCTCGGGGCAGCGCGGCCGGAGCGGAGCGCGGCGGAGATACGTACGGCACTGGCGCGCGGCGGGGCGGCAGCGGCGGGCTGAGCCGGGCAGGGACATCCCCGTCAGTGGCAGCCATGGAGCCGAATCATTTTGGGTAGGAGAGAGACGGAGCGAGGAGGGAAGAAAAGCGACGGCAGCCCGACGAGAGAGTCCATGAAAAGGAGGAGGGAGGGGGAGCCGGGCGGGCAGCCGCTCTCCTCCCTGTGTCTGGCCGTCTCTGGAGGCGGCTCCGCTCCGCACGCTCTTCCTTCCCCCTCCGCCTCCTCCCCTTTATAACAGGCGGCACCGCTCTTCCTCCGCAACGCCCGGCCTGCCCTTGCCTTCCTTTCTTCTTTCCCTCGGGCTCTCGCGGCTCCCCGGCCGCCGCGGGTCTCTCCCCGCCCGGCCCCGTCTCCTCACGGAGCGCTGAGGAGGAGGAGGAGGGCGCTGCGCGGGGCTGCAGGGGGGAGGGGAAAGCTCGCCAAAGGGGAGGGCAGGCGAGAGACAACGTAAGATGGCGGCGGCCGCGCATGCGCGCCCCGCTGGCAGACATAAAGCCCGTCTGGCTCGGGCTGACGGAAATAGGCTCGGCTCGCGTGGCGGAAATTGCCGAGCGGCGCCGAGCCCCGTGCGGGAGGAGAAGGAGGAGGAAGAAGAAGGGCGGGGGTGTCCCCGCGTGGCGGCGCTCCTGAGTGGGGAGGGGGCGTGAGGTGGTGTGGGGGGGCGCGCGCCGTGGAAATGGCGGGCGGGCGCCTCACGCCCCAGGTGCTTCTCTCCTCCGTCCCGCAGCATGACTCTGCCTCACATGACGCGCCCGCCCCCCCCTCCGCCGCAGATTTATTCAAGTTATTCATCACCTTCGTCTTCCTCCCCTCCCTCGGTCCAGAATATTCCTGCATCCTCCTCCCTCCCGTGCACGGGGAAGCTGGAGCCGCCTCGCTCGGGGCCGCGCTCCCTTTGTGCCGCCGCGCATCCCCCTGGCGGAGCGTCCCCCGCCCCCCGGAATGGCTGCCGTGGGGACGGCGTCTCGGTGCCCCCGAGGGTGATGGGGTGAGCTTGGTGCCGGGCGCAGGCAGCTGGAGGCTGGTGTTCTGGGTGAAATTGCGCCTGTGGCTGTGTAGAATCAATCACAGAATCCTTAAGGTTGGAAAAGACTGCTAAGATCATCCAGTCCAACCATCAGCCCGTCCCCACCGTGCCCACTGACCGTCACCCTCAGTGCCACATCCACACGGTTCTTGAGCACAGCTCCAGGGACAGTGATTCCACCACCTCCCTGGGCAGCCTGTGCCAGTGCCTCACCGCTTTGAGAAAAACAAAAACCTGAATTCCTAATCTTCCTAAATTTTTTAAGCAGCGTGTACACAGGAGCTTCTGAAAAGAGCGCGAGAGGGAGTTTCAAAATAAAATGATGCCTTTTTAGGGTATTTTTAAATTGCTCAATAAAATTGAGGTGACATCCAACTGATGCGCGCTCTCTGTTTCAGTGACGGTGTCTCAGCAGGGAAGAAGCAGCTCCTATTCCATCCCAGAGTCAGGTGATGAAGCTTGACATGGGCCTGGGCTACTTGCATCCTGTCGTGTTGGTGCTGCTTTAGCTCTCCTCTGTCCAAAACTCAACCTGACATGGCTGCCGTCAGATCTCTGAAGACACTGAATGCCTGTGTATTGGCCTTGAGGTTTCCCTTAGCATCTGCATGGCTGCTAGTGTGCTCTAGTGAGTGTCCAGCAGGTGGGTAGGTACCTTGTTGCAACACAAGCACAATGAATTCACATCCCAGTCATTGCTCCACCTCTCTTCAGCAGGACTATCTCCAGGAGCACTTTCAGAGCTTCATAGATTGGGTGTTCTGCTTTCCTACAGAGGGGGAAAACTCCGTACCTCAGTTGCAGGTGGGAGTTGAAGATATCCTTTAAAAGCATGCAGGTTTAAGCTTACCCCATCTGAGTCAGTCTGTGCTACTGGGGACCACACTTAGGAGTGGAAGGGCTTGGCAGATTATTTTTGTCAAAGTTGGACTCAGTGATCCTTTTGGGTCGCTTCCAACTCAGGATATTCTATGATCTATGATTCTCTTGTTCTTGAGGTGGATGAAGTGTGCATCTGTGCCAGGAGAGGTGCTCATGTTTCCCACCTTCTGGCAGCACATCCTCATCTCCAAATGTAGTTTTTCATGAGCTGGTATTGTCTCAGTCATGGCTTTGAAATTCTTTAGGTTTCATGAAGGGCAGAGCTTAACTGACTCGGGCTAATTCTATGATCTGACAGTCAATGGGACAAGTGGGGAAAAAGGCAAGAATTTGGTGTTTACTGCAAGTGAATATGTAAATACACTGTGAGCAGTAGTAGGGCTTTAACGGGAGAAGTTGGGAGAGTCCAAACTATGATATCACATAGCTGAGTCAGTAGAGTTCTTGTGGGAGATGTAAATGTGCATTCCTTCAGGCAGAGAGGAGATTTGAGTCTCCCATGTTCAGTGTGTGGTGCTTAATCACCAAGGTATTAAAAAAGCTGTTTTTCTAGCTCTATTTCATGAAAAGGGTGAGGATTCAAGGTCACATACAGTGGGAGCTTTTTGCTGTCCCTTCCTGAATTTCAGCCTTCCATCTTGGCTATCTCTGTCAAGTAGATTTTTCAGTTCTCGGTCAGCGTGGAAGACATGTAGTTCTGAGAAAATCCCACCTTTTGCAGCCCAATTGTTTTTTTATCTGTGCAGATGTTCAGCTCATGTCTCTAGGTACCTAAAAGGTAGACCTGTAGCCCTTGCTCTCTCCATGCCTCTAGTGTGCTGCCTATTTACAGACAGTAATGCGCTCTTTGAAGCACTTGGCATGTAATTAGATAAGATTCTTCCTTTTCTGAGAACAAGGCAATATTATTTTTTTAAAGATGATAATTAGAACAGATTGAACTACCTGAACATGTTGTGAGTTGCATACAGGAAGGCATTTTCATGTAACCCTCACAGATTTCAGGAAAAGTCACAAAGGTGCCCACAGTCTATCTACATGGAAATTGATGCAACACTGAGGACTTATAAGTCTTTGAGATGCTAAGTGTGTGTAAACATTTTTGGGATGAGAGCCTGAGGTTGCAAGCCAACTGCCATTATAAATTCCTGTTCTGTCTGCTTACAACTTTCCCAGAACAATTTCCTTGAGGGATTAAGCCTTCTATGATTAGTCTCAGCTCAAAGATGATATTTTTGAATGTTTGAACAAAGGCCAACTAAAAGCACGTAGTCTAAGAAGATGGATAAATCTGTTTTTAACCTTCAAAATCTGTGCAGAAGTTACTCAGATTGAAGTATGAAGTTTGTATGTGCCTAGTAGACATCAATAAGCTTGCAAAAGATTATTCAGGTAAGTTACCTGCCATTGTTTTGGGTTACACGCTTCTTAGTACAGCATGTGAAACATCTTTAGATTAGCTCCACTTAGTTATTTTATTCCACAAGAGGAAACAAAGAAATAGAAAGTGATATTTAGACAAGTGTTAACTAACTTGCATTTTACGATCAATGGTCAGTTAACAATCCAAATATCAGTTTAGACTAGACAAAGCACATGTGAAGTAGCCTGATGGAAATATTTTATAAATGCTATTCATAAAAATTAATGTCATGTAAGACATTTTTTTCCTTGCTTATCATTTTTCACCTGGGTACACGCTTACAAGTATACTATTTTTTTGCAAACCTGTTTCAAAATGGATTTCTCAGCTCAAAGATTTATTTTCATATTCATTAGGAATTGTGAAATTAAAAATAAACTGCTGAAATTCATAATTCGTTTGCTATACATTTTGTTCAGTTGTTGTTATAAGTGGGAAAAGAAGTTTCTAATTTAAAACACCAGACAGTTCAAAATCAGGCAGCAACAGAATTAACCACCTTCAAGCAGAGGGTGTTGGATATTAGTGAAATTACTCTGCAGTTATTCCACCTGCTGTTTTTTAAGCTGTATCAGTCTAATTTTGGAAGAAGAGGTGCTCCATCGCTGGGTGGATCCAGCACCTTTTCCACCATAGTCAGTGCTGGTGACTACAGGGCAGTCCTGTATTGCCTTCATTAACTCAGCTGGATACTGAAGAATGCTGAAGGGTTGGAAGTATAGAGGAATCCCCTTGAATTGCATCTCGTACGTACACACTTCCCAAATAAGCAAGCACGGGTGGGACTGATGGAGTCTGTGCTGCCAGACTGGGAAAGTGAGTGTCTGGAAGAACTCTGTTTCAATGTTAAAATCTTGTAATTGAGGTTAGTTCAAGAAAGCAAGATCTTCACAGTGTAGATATTTACAACTCAGCTTTCCAAATATGCAATATTTTTCAGGCAGCAAACGACAAGCCTTGTTGCCACCAAGATTCTTCAAGGATACCAGAAAAAGCAGTGTTTTAATATTTCCTTTCTTTGACTCCTTTACTATGTGATGCAGTTGTGTGTTTTTCCAGCTACGTGCAGTATTTTGTATTTTTGTATATAGTTACAAAACCAGCAAACGGGAATAATACTGTGGTTTTTTAACTCAAAATAAAATCAGAATCATAGCAAATCAATCTGACAGGCATTTTAAATCAAGTGTAGCTGCTCATAAGTATTTTTTAAAACTTTAAAGAAATTTTTATGATATGGATCTACTGTTACTTTAAACAGAAAGCTTTTCCATGTTCATTAATATTGCTGACTATAGTTGCTCTCCTAAGTTGATTTGCATTGA